ACTGTAAGGCTGAAAGTTGAAGACAGCCTTTGGTGTTGGGGCCCAGAAGAAGAGACTGTTCCCTGCTATCAAATACAGGGGATTGAGGGCTCTGAGGCATTATGTGTTCATCACACACCAGAACCTCCTAGTGCCAGAAGTCTGAGTCGAACTTCCCATATCAGGAAGAGGGGAGTTCATGTCAGGATTAAAGTGTTAGAACAACATTCAATGTTAAGGGGGTTAGGACATGTCATGCATAACAGGAGGTTATGATCTTATTTTCTCAAGCAATCTGACAAAAGCCTTCCTTCTCGGTCCCTTGCCACACTTTTCTTGCCATATTTTTGGTGACTCTCTTGCTGTCAGGTCAAAGTCCCTGGTTTACAAATCTGCTATCAAGAATGTTTGAAAATAACTGTGGGTTGTTTTTTTTCTTTAATATTGAGTTCTAAAATTGAATTTTAGTTTTATTTTCATACTTCAAATGACTTAAAACTTAATTTGCATTAAGAAACGTTTTTTAACCCCTACCTCTTTGGTGACCTTACTTCATCCTACACTAAGTAATACTGTTTTAATGGGAGAATGCTGTGGAAGAGTTCGTGCTGGTCCCAGTGCGATGCATCATGAGAGGAAGTGCCTCTTTTAATTGTGATGTGTCCCTGTTTTTTGGTTCAAAAGGACACCAGAAGTGTTAGAGTGGAAGAGAAGATGACAGCAATCTTTTCACACTGTAAATATTATTTACTGTTATTTTTGTTCACCTCTTTAATTTCCCTTCTCTGTGAGCCATGTTGGTTTTTTGGCAGTACTTTTCTTCTGCAGTGCTGCAGTGACCAACTTGACTTACTTGTAACCACCTCTGTAGTTGATTAGGAACCTCAAATAATTATTCCATTATTCCACTAAAGGAAAGTTCTCTCATTTTAACATAGTCGCTCATACCAAATTCTTTGCTTTTTTTGCATATGTGACAATTTTTGGCAATAGTTCAGTTACCTATGTTCACTTGTTTGTGCAATTTGAAATCAATGTTAGTTTGGCAAAGCGTTTTTTTCAGGTAGTTCCTTCCAGATTCTTTGATATAAGTTATCCACCCTTGTTGACTTGAAATTCTCCATTTCAACAGATGTTCCCCCATTTGTTACAGATTGGAGTTTCAGGGTTTTGGGTTTGTGTTTTTTAATTTTCGGATTCCAGTAGCTTCATAATATGGAAAGGAAAAGCGTTGCTTTGGGTGTTGCACAGATTCTTTATCAGTTCTGGACCTCTGAGCTCATAAAATACCCATTGACATGTGATCCCCCAGCCGGCCCGTAGCCTATCAAGTCTTACTGATGTTTCAGTGTCATCTTTTAATCTCTGTGCCTTCTTGTCCAAGGCAATTTTCTTGGCATGTTCAGAATTTTTGTCGTTTCAAGGAAGAGGGTAGGGAATGTGTGCAAAGACAGCTTTCATTTTTTGTTTTCATTAATTGTTTCCACTTCTACATTTGATGCTTAAGTTGCACTGACAGGTGCTTTGGGCAATGTTTACAGGTAAAAATAAACCTCATTGTCATCTCTTTTTAAGTATCCAGTGAGTCTTCAGTCATCTATCCATTGGAGTGAATACCAGCATTAAGCATCAAATGCTGAGCACCAAGCCTTCTAGTTTGATGCTATGTAGCACTTGAGGAACTACAAAAATACTCTTTTTGCCATCTACGTAACTGTCAAATGTGTCTCCAGGTCGTGTCAACATCGGAAGCAGTTCTTCTGTATTATGGATAAATGTTGCTCAATAAGTGGTGCTGGAAAAAAAATAAATTATTTTCTACTAAGATAGATGGCTTTTATTACACTATTTTTATTACATTATTACACCCTTTTATTACACTATTTAATTTTACCTGACAGGTACATCTTTGGCCTGAACTGGCAGCCTCCTTTCCCACAGCCATTTCAGTTATGTCCTAAGACTTATTCTAAGTGTTGTTTTGATTACTGTTTTTTGTCACATGGCTTATCTCTTAAGTTTGCATTACACCAGCCACGTAATTCCTTTTCTATGTGAGAATCTTTATCTCCCATGGTGAATTGTGCATGCTGTGGGTATCTCTATATGTACTTGAGGATTACTGATGAGGCTTTCTGACTTCACCATCCCTTCTTTGTCAGAAGAATTGCATAATGCTAACTGAAACCAAGTATTTCCCCTGTATTTGAATTCCATAGATTCAAGGCAGGAATTCTAGGTGGTAAGTGTACTCCTCTTGTGTTTACCTTCCCAGATTGCCAAAGTCATATAAAATGCATGGGATTGCGCTTGTGGTGGTGACACTGGTGTCTATGCAAGTCGTGACCTAAGCACTTTTCCCTGTGTCAGTGTAGCAGTGGCCCTTCATTTTCACTCCTAGAAAGCAAGAAGCTGCTCTGCTGTCTTCTTGCATCTCTAGAAAAGTTGGGTTGACTAGTTTATTCCCAGGATGGAGTTCCAGTGATTTGGGTATCCTTGCTTGGCTGAGTGATGTTCCATGGGATTTGTCTTGGGTAGCACATTTTCACTTCTTTCTTTGGCTCTTACAGGTAGTTCTGCAATGATGTTTTAAATTTTATTTATTTATTATTAATCTAACACAGATGCCAACTTGATAACAAGAACTTAATTTTAACTTCCAAGGATAATTTTTTTTGCATGATAATGAAACGCAAAGCACAGAAAATTTGTTTCAGAAAAAAGATATTTTAGAGTGCAAAACCTTTCTTCCTGCTTCTGATTCTCAGTTCATTTCTTGCAATCAGAAAGAATTACTGTCAAGTCCTAGTTTTTCCTTCACTGTTTCTCCTGATAGTTTATCCAAAGCACTGAAAATAATTACGTAGTCAGGAAAAATTAGATTATTTTAATTAAATAAACTATACCTTTTAATTTCATGACTTTTCATGGTCTTAAATTGGGGAGCTGATCCAATTAACTAGCTTTATTGGAAGTGTTTTAGCTGATTTCTAAAAGCTGGATTTTGGCTTGGTGTTGTTCTCCGAAAACAAGGGAAGTGAGGCTGACCTCTACGTAAGTTAAATAAACTGAATATGTTAGCCAAAGAAATCTTAGTACAAAATTGCTAACACCGGCTGTACTTTGCACATGTTACAAAATTATCACAGTTGCTTAGTTTTAGTTTTTTCCTACCTTTGTGGAGCAGAAATTTGTATTTTTCCCATGGAATGTATGTTTTGCTAAATTTGTTGAAACTGAAGCCATGTATTCAGGTTTGCAGCCTTGATCAAAGCAGAGTAGAATGCACTGAAGTGACTAGAAGGGTTAGTAATTTTCCAGTGCCTTAACTTCTGAAGATTTATGCATCTGCTGGGGAGTGAAATAATCCAATATCCTCCAGAGAGAATGCCTGGACTGGAATAATGCCTGGAATGCAATAATTTACCTGCTTCATAATCCCATTCTTCTGTAACAATAGATTGATTCTCAGGCTTTTCAATTAATGAAATTGCCATCTCTCCATGTTCAGCAAAGTTGCTTCTATTTGTAACATCCAGTTTCTGTACCTATATAATACTGTGCATTATTATACACACGCAGAAGTAAGAACCTATTCAATCACACTTGAGAAATGTGACATTTTCCTCAAGTATGAAACTGCCCAAGCAAGGTAAAGCATTGGGTTTTTTTACCTGTGCCAGCACCGTATTGCACTAACTTACATGTCTGAAGAGGTTGCTTCAAATGCTGTGCTAGAGAGAAGCAGTAAGGACAGTACCAGACTGTGCACCACTGCCCTGTGCCCCTTCAGTTCCTGCACCATAAGCTGCAGCTTTGCCAGCCATTGCTTTCCTCCACAGGGTGTGGAGGCAAAAGCATAAACAAATTAACGTTTTGAGAAGCAGCAGGTGATAACACATGGTAAACATGTAAGTGATCACTGGGGAAAACTCTAGATGACAGTTTTCATTAGTGATTGCCAAAGACCCCTGAAACATCTTGAAGTTTCCTGTGTGCACTTCAGGATTAAACGTGTAAGCTTGGATGTTACTTTGTGGAAAATGTTCCCAGAGTGGAAACGGTAGCTGAAGGTACCAGAACTGATGGTATTGTTGAATGTGAGGCAAAGGAATGGAAAGGAGCAACACCAGCTTGAACAAATCCTGCGGTACCAAAGAGCAAGGATTTCCTGACCAGTAAGTACTCTCCATAGAAACACAGGATTATGTCCTGAAAAGGGCATCTTCTTCTGGTTTTGCATCATGTCTCTCATTGTCTCTTAATGAAATATGCCCTCTTCATTTCCACAAAGCTTCTGTTGAATTTGCAAAGAGCAATGTGTTGGCTGCATGGGCACTGTAATGGGCCAGTAAGTGGGTAAAATGAAGAGGTGACCAATTAATGGTATGGAAATAAAGGTCTAGAAAAGACATATTTAAAAAACAAATACAGGCTTTTTCCTCTCAAAAAGGATGTTACTCTAGGCTGAACAAATAAAGCCATGAAACTAAATCCTACCTTACACTTTTCTCCTGTTACATCAAATGATGATGGCAGCATCACTGAAGAAGAGATCTGGATGATCCTTCATTTGCTGGCCGGCTCTTTCTCTCTTTTTGCTCAAGCTGCACAACAAACTCATGCAGAACAGTTTACTGCTCTTCTGGCTCCTGGAATCGTGTAAAGCTTCAATGTCCAGCCTGGGGTCTTAGTGGAGAAGCAGCTCAGAGCCTAAGCCAAGAGTTAACTAACAGCATTAGGTGTGGGCTTCACTGTTCAAGTACACAGATCTTTGGCTTTTTCTCAGGGAGCACCTGACTTGTATCATGCAAGATACCACACAACGTGTAGTGAGTGGTACATGCTGCATTTTCCAGCTGGTCTCTGTGTGCGAGTGGAAAGTCTCATGGACCACACTGTAGTTCCTCTCACTCTTGAAAATGGGTGTGAATACTGTTGGAAACATCAGAATGAAGTTTTACAACAGCAAAAAGGAAGACACTACAGCATTTTCAGTATCAGATTGTAATGATCACGTAATGGTATATGTGTATGTGGTAAGTATATAATTAATTCTCCTTCTCGTTCATGGAAGAGCTACCTCATGTACCCTGGTAGAAAACAAAAGAGAAATCAAAACCTTTGAAAAATTATGGTCCTTAAAGTCAGTTATAAGTAACAAACTAAGCTCAGCATGTTATTGTGGGCAGCACAATAAAAGAAAGAACCTATGCCTTTAATTAGAAAGTATTTGATAGACCTAAAAGCTGTCCTTTGGGTAAATAAGATACTACATTTAAATAAATAAATAATTATGTAGATACTGATTACAATACATTTTTAGGCAAACGAAGCAAAGACAGTCACAACTCCTGATTAAGAAATTAAATATGGTGAAAATAATTTCAGTTGAAAATATTGGAGGCACTAAATACTAAACAGACTGGCAGCAGATTCAAGACCTTTCACCTGTAGTCTCAGTTGATGTGAAGAAAGTATCCATCTCAACTGAAATCTGAGATGCATTTAAATTTTGACACGAGTTGAACTTTGTTGTGATGAGTGCTTAAGGGCATCAAAAAGATGTTTTGTGTTCTCACTGGTTTTTGTAGCATGTATCAGTGCTTTAAAAGATGATTGCTACACTACACATTAGCTGACATCTCTGTTGGCACTGTCAACAACTTGTTAACAGAAGAATAATTTGCCAGTGCTGGAAGGGAGTAATTGAAAAATGTGGAACTTACTGATGGCTGCAGTGAGCAGTCATGGATGTGAATTAGGGAAGAAATGCTTGAGTGCCTAACCATGGTGATACCAAAAGTGAAACTGTATTTGGTTGGATTACACTGGGTTTTTTTGCATTATACATTTCTCTCTTCTACTTGTCCTCTGTCTTAGAATATAGGATCGATATTTGGAAAGTACTGAGTATATTTTGAGTGCTGTCAGAACATGACAAAGCTGATGAGACAGCTCACACTGAAATTCAAGTACTGGTTTACTCCAGTAATGCCTTTGATGCAATTAAAGGTAAGCATTAAGAGCTCTACACTGGCAAATGTCCTTAACTTCAATTTACTTTTTGAACGTGTGACTTCAGACCTCGTGGTTGCCAAAATAGTGCCTCTGACAAACATTGAAAAATGATTCACCTTAAATATGAAAAGCAAAAGCACAAGGTAAGTTTCACTCCAAATAAAACAGTGTCTTTGAATTGAAAAACCTGTTTTGAAGTATTTTTTATTCTCGCCCAATTAGGGAGTCGATAAAGTAGAAAGAGTGAAACAGGATTCTTATGAATATACAGAACTACACTCCCTTCATAAAGACACTGGGAAAGGTCCATCATCACATAGCCCTGTAAAAGATAATTCAATTAGCTGATTAACAAATATGTGCTGAAAGTGGTGGGAACATGACAAATGGACTGTGTGCTCTGGAGGCTGAGCTAGAAGAGCTGTGTACCTGCCGTGTCACCTCTGGCTTTGTACAGAGCATTTGGACAGCCAGTCTGGCGACGCTGGAGGAAGCTGCTTCAAAGCACAGTTACTGAAGCTCATGTGGTTGTGTATTTTCCATTAACTACATATTTTCAAAATCACTTGAAAGGAAAAGAGACCTGCCAAACAACATTCCTTTAACTTAAAATATGCACAAAAAACCGGGAAGAGGTAGAAAGGCAGTTGATTTTATGAAGATTTAACAGTCAATTCTCATCAGGCTGGCAAAGCCATTCTGGCAATCATGGCATTAAAAAGTTCATTTGCATGGGAAAATGTGTTTTTAAAAATATACATCAAGATTTATCATGAAGGAGAGCATAAAAAATAGGCCAACCTTTCAGAATTCTATTTTCTTATTATCAATGTCAGTGAGTAACTGCACAGATATTTGACGAACAGATGTTACAAACTCATATTTTAGCAG